ATCATATTGTATGTCTGTGAAAATTCATAAAAAAACTTTTTTTGAAAAACAAGAATTTACTCCTTAGATGTATAGCTTAAAAGCTGTTGTCTGGGACCAGTGTCACTTAGGCCCTTATGGCTTTATCTTCAAAATGCGCTAATTACTACTTACAAAAACGTAAGAACATCTAAGATTATATGATGCCGTTCTTAGAGATAATTATGCAATTATAATTTAAACCTTTCCAACTATTAAGAAGCTAAAGTAAAAGATATCATAGTACTTAAATAATTACTGTTGTTTTTATAAAATTATACTTTAAAATCTTACGCGTAATTTGTTTTCTTCTATATTTAAATTATTTGTTGTTTTCAAAGCTTTACGATTGTCGCGGGAAAGATTTTCATTTTCTTTCTCTGCTGATTTTAACATTTGTTGTTCTGTTTCGCATTGTTTGCGACGAGCAACAATTAAATTCTGTAAAAAAAAAAAACAATACTTTTATTAATAAATAATTAATTAAGAAATAAATTATTCCTTCAAGTATATACATTACTTCATTTTGTGTTTGATAATTTTGTTTATTATTAAGAGTTTTTTGTAGCATATCTACATAATTATTTCCTTCTTCATCTATTACTANTTAATTCTGCTTTTTTCTGGAGAAGTTCTTTTATCTAAATTTATTAACATAATTATGTTATATGATATAATTAAAAAATAATATTTATAAAAATACTAGTATTACAAAAAAAAAATTAGATATAACTTTTATTTTATGTAATAGTTTACCTGGTTCTCAAGCAATTTATTTTCCTCGTTAGCAACTGGAATGTGGAATCCATCTGTGCAACCTATATCTTTCATTATTGTCATCATTTTCGCATCAAATGCCATATTTGATATAATTAAAAACGTTAAATTTCATAAACTTTAAATATGATTAAGTGCCAAAAGAAGGAGCATTTTATAAACTCAAAAAGTAAACAATCAGTTGCCAAGGAAACGGTTTAAACAATAATAACCATACATAACGATTAAACATGTAGTGAAAAATAAATAGTAGTTAAACATAGCAACTTCAATATATTAATATTGTCAAAATATTCTTAAAAAATACTTTTTAAAATATTTTGAAGCAAATATTGTGAAAATATCTTATAAATATAATTAAAAATATATTCTATTCATATATTTCCATTTAAATTTCCATAGAAA